TGCAAGTCACTGGAAATTATTTAGGATTAATCAGTGAACAAAATAAGCTGTAAACTGTGTGAAGAAGCTAGCAGAGAAGAAAATCCTCCTTGTCTTTCCTCCTTCCACCTACATCCTCTTTTATTATTGTTGCTATGACTAAGTTATATTTAAATACCAGAGCAGGTAGGATTTAATACACAAGAGAAGTCTAAACCATGTTCGCTATGTGACACAATGAAATGAATGCCAGTGCTTCTTTTGAATACTCTGTCTAAAGTCAGAGAGTTCTGATAAATATTTTTCAACATTTGCTTTCTGAAATCCATAGAAATTCCATAGCAAAACTTCACTTAAAGTGTGAAGGAGACACTTGAAATGTGGTGGAATGCATGTTATCTTCAGGGCTTATCAGAAATGACAGGGAAATTCCAGCAACATGGTCTGTTTAATTTTAGAGGTGAGAATGACCCTGATTCTTCAGATGAGGACACGGCCCTCAAAAGTGTCCCCTCAGCAGCTCAATATGTGTCTTTGTAAACCGCATGCGAAAGGATTCATTTCTTGAGCAGAACTCTGTGACTAGATGAATAAAACAGATTTCAAGACTCTTTCCTTTAACATGCAGTTCTGCTTTGAGAAGTTTCTGTTTTGTGATTTCTCCATTATTTTGAGATGAATGATTATTTTCCCATTAACATCCACTTGTTTTTCATTATGATAGTGAGCCTGGCCTCATTCTGCTCTCTGTAAGGTTTCCACTACCACCAGATACCCAAATACATCAGAGGTGATAGGCGAAATGGAAAGGATAGATTTCTGCTCATTTGTGGTTTTTTTGCAGAGCTACCACATGTCAGAGCAGTAACTACTATTTTATGATTAAACTGAACTAATGAGGCTGTGATTAAAATGAGCCTGTCACAAAAGAAGCTTCCACAACTATTTTCAGCCCTATAGTTACGTGTAGATCTTTATATTTGGGTTAGTGTATAATTTTATATATATGTATCTGAGTGCAGTCATAACCTGATTTGTAGATGAGCTATTTATTTGCTAGGAAACCTGACTTCTCTCTGTGTAGCCCATTCTGTCGGGGAGCAATGATTTTGAAATTTGCAAGGCTTTGATTACCAAGTACAGCAATTTTGGAACGTTCCTACTGTTGTTTTTTCTTGGGAAAGCTATGACTTGGTCCCAGCTCAAAAATAGCAAGTCATTTAAAAATTAAGTTGAAAAACCCCAAAGATTTGAGAGGTAGTTCAGAAGAGCAGTGTTGGTGTGCCTGTGCTGATACAAAGCGGAGCTATGGGCAGTTTATAAAATACCTTCCTTATAAAGACCCACTAATATAAATGAAAACACTTTATTTTGGCATTAATGCAAACACTGTCTTTTCTCTATTTCCATTGAACTCAGTACTTCCCTTTTAAATACACTGCCAAGTAGGTGCTCTCTAGATGTGTAGT